GGTCAGTTTTTATTGTTTGGACACCTGTGCTGAGCCCCCCGCAATACACAATACCTGTTTTTCTAATGCCCCACCTGTCTCTCCCAAGCATCTGTTGGAAGCATGAAGCATGAAATCGTGGGTAGAAAACATGCTTTTCACATGTTTACATTCAGATGTTCCCATTGTGTCCCTGGCCTCCCTTCCCCCAAATCTCAGGGGCTGAGAACACCGAGGGAGACCTTTGCTCCGGCCGATCTCTGGCCCTCCGTGTGTTTGTACTGGCTTAATGGTTACCTCCCAGCTGCCAGCAGAATCGCCACGTTCTCCACTCTGGGTTGGGGCTGGGGAGGCTCAGCTCAGTAGCCACAAGGCCGCCCCCCCCCCGGGGTTTGTGGGCACTGGGTACCACCCTGGTTGCTTTTATGTTCCCGCATCAAGTCCAGTTGCCCTTGGGACACCGGGGTGGCCCAGAGCACCTCCCACAACCAGTCACTGGCCCCCGGTCCCTCCAGGCTGCGTGAGCGTGTCTGACGGCATAGAGGGCTGGGGGAGAATTCTGCCCCACTGGCGGGTGGGAAGGCAGCTTTGCCGCCTGGGGCTGCGGGGCCTGTGCTCCGGACAGACACACAGAGGGCGGGTGTGTGCAGTGCATGTGCGTAGGGAAGGATGTCCTGGAACAGGGTCGGCCTTTTGAACTGAGGGTCGCTTTGTCTTCAGCCAGCCTTGGCACGGATTCCGGCACTGACTTTTCACCCCGGAAGGAGATGCCAAGAACCTCCATTTCTGCGAGACGTGGTACGGCTGACGCCAAGCGGCGTCACGGCTGAGGCAGCTGGCCAATGTCCAGCATCTGGACCTTTAGCCCTGGAGCAGCAAGTGGCCTCGGGGCCGCTGCCAAATCGGGGGCCCTGGAAGGGAAAGGCCCACCCCCCAGCAGGATCTTAGGGAACCTTCCACCCCACGCGCAGCAAGTCTCTGTGGAACAGGCTCCTGGCAGAGCGTGGGACCAGGTGCCGTGGCCGCTCGGGCAGGGTGGAATGGCACACACAGAGACTTTGTTTGGCCAGGGTGGGCGGAAGTCCTAACAGGCGGTCTGAATTCTAAAGTGTGTTGTTTGGTGGCCGATAAAGGGCTTATTGTATGCAAAATAGTTTATAAAGCAGCATATGACTTTCTCGAGCTGGGCACAGTTTGCCGGAGGCCTGCGCCTGTAGAGGGAGCCTGCGGCTGCCTTGCAGAAGGACCGTTCCCCAGGGCAAGGTAAGGGCTGGTTGGGAGGCTCACCCTGTCAGGAATGAATGGGCTGGCTGGGTGCTGCTGGGAACGGGCAGGGGGTCTTGGGAAGGGGGCAAAGGCTGGGCATTGGGAGAAACCCATCTCTTTTGGCAATCTCCATCCTAATTTTGAAGGGCTGCCAGCATCAGGACATCGGTGATGCCAGCTGCTTTTAAATCAGTCGGGTTTATCATAAGCTCCCCAAAAGTTGCTTCTCAAAATACTTTTCAAAACATCTGTGCATTTCTGTCACTGTTCATCAGCCTGCCCCGGCCAGTCAATGCCATGGCTGCGTTGGTGCAGACCCTCTGATGAATTTCCGGAGAAGGGAAGGATGCTCTGGACAGGGCAGGCAGCCCAGGGAATGGCACCACTTTGCTTCTGAGCTTGGGAGCCCCTAGAAGTTGCCTCCAGTCTGCAGGGTGTAAGGTGACCCCAGCCATGTCTCTAGCCCTTCTTGCAAGAACCTCGATTTGCTCTCTCTGGAGGAAGGGGCAGCGGAAAAGCCGTGCTGGGCTACGGGGAGCGTCTCCCGGGGAAGGTTGCCAGGTTGCCCAGGTGGAGTCTCCGCTTCCAGCCTGGCCCAGCAGAGCTGCTTAGGGCGTACAGGGCTGGGGTGTGCAGCCATGCCCCTCAGAGCAAGGGGGAGGGGGAGACGGGCGAGGGGGAAGAGCAGTGGAAGACTGTAGTAGGGTCCTCTTCCGTCGAGGGGCAGGGCCAAGCCCATGCCAGCCTATGGCTTTGGTGGCAGCTGCCAAAGGAAGCTGTGGGAAACTGCCAGTCCTTGTAAGTGTTGGCAGCGCCACCCTGACTGCAGCATCTGCCCAATCCTTGTGTCCTGGTAGGCCAGCTCAAGAGAGAGAACTGCAGGAGAGCCATTTCTCTCGGCCTGAGTAGTTGGGAATGGGGGCTCAGGACAATCCTGGGGGCCGACAGCGCACAGAGGTTTCTGAAAGCAGGGCTGCCAAGGACCTAAATGAGGAGCGGTCTAGCCTTTGCCTTTGTCACCACCGCATTATGCATGAAATAAAACTCGGTGGAAGGGCGATTGGGGCACGGACGGACAGATAGACACCGTGGTTCTTTGCACTCCCCACCCAGCAAACTGTGGTGGAGAGACTGAGCCTGGGGCCCCGTCCGCCCTGACCATGCCATTTTCCTTTCAGGTCTGAGGCACCATGAAGTGGGAAGGCTTCTACGCCCTGGTCATTGGCGTGAACCGCCATTCCACTGCCGTTGGCCGCATCTGGCTCTCCGTGGTGTTCATCTTCCGCATCATGGTGCTGGTGGTGGCTGCCGAGAGCGTCTGGGGTGACGAGCAGTCCTCCTTCACCTGCAACACGCAGCAGCCCGGCTGCAAGAACGTCTGCTACGATTTCTACTTCCCCATCTCTCACATCCGGCTCTGGGCGCTGCAGTTGATCCTGGTGACCACACCAGCCCTGCTGGTGGCCATGCACGTGGCCTACCAGCAGCACCAGGAGAAGAAGCTCTTGGTGATGACCGGCCACGGGGACACCAAGCACCTGGAGGAAGTCAAGAAGCACAAGATGCGCATTTCCGGCTCGCTCTGGTGGACCTACATCTTCAGCGTCCTCTTCCGCATCCTCTTTGAAGGCGTCTTCATGTACATCTTCTACATGATCTACCCAGGGTACCAGATGATCCGCCTGGTCAAGTGCGACGTCTACCCCTGCCCCAACACCGTGGACTGCTTTATCTCTCGGCCCACCGAGAAGACCATCTTCACCGTCTTCATGTTGGCCACCTCTGGCGTTTGCATCCTCCTCAACGTGGCCGAAATGGTGCTCCTTGTCGTGCGAGCCTGTGCCCGGCGCCTCAGCCGAAGCCACAACCCTTCCTCGGGGAAGGGCTCCTTCCTGGGGCACAAGCTGTCTTCCGAGTACAAGCAGAACGAAATCAACCAGCTGCTGACCGAGCATGAAGGCTCCCTCAAGGACATTCTCCGGCGGAACTCAGGGCTGCAGGAGAAAAGTGACCGCTGCTCGGCCTGCTAGAGGCCTCAGGCTGTTGGTGGGTCGTTGGGCTCCGGCCCGATGGGGAGCAGAGGACTCTTCTGGGCGGCTGAGCTGCCTTCTGGGGGAATCGGGCTGGGGCCTCTCCCCACCCCTGCTGTCACCGGCCACCGTCCTACACTTCCCTCCTGTCGGCTTACAGGCTCCGTACTTTCTGTGGATTTTGCAGGCACTGGACCGGCCTGCGGAATGCCCTGGGGGCAGCGAGGCAGAGCCCAGCGGCTGGGGCTTTGCGACGGGGCTTCTGAAGGAGGCTGCAGGCCCCTTCCAGCCAGGATATCCAACTGCAGCTTGGCTCCCTGGCTGCGTTTTACTGTACCAAAGCAAGTCACAGTATTAAAATGGTTTCACAGGTCCTGCCTTTAGTGGTTTTTCTTTGGGCTTTCACATCATCAGCACGTGGAAAGTCGCTTTATCTGGGAGGTGCTGCAGACCTTTCGCTGGTTGAATTCCTGGCTGGCCACTGTTTGCTGGAAAGTATGTCAGGAGGTGGGAGGAACCTTCCCTTCCCTTCCCATCCCGTCTGGATCCAGGCAAGGAGCTCCTGCCAGGACTCCAAGCAGAACGGGGGGAGGAAGAGGTGAAAGCCAGCAGGACCCTTAGCCGGTTGGGGGAGAGGGGCAAACTGGCTTATTCCTGGTATCCCCAGCTTGCCAGCCAAGAGAGGCTGTGAGTTTTGCAGAGATGGGGCAAGAGGTGCACCCAAGGCCCCGTTTGTTGTGGTGCCCATAGCTAAAGGCAAGCATCCTCCCCCTGCAGAAGGAGGCGTAATGAGCCAGGCAAAATAAAGGTGGAGGAAGCCCCGGGATGCCAAAGGCAGGCTGGCAAAGCTCGGAGGGCACCCAAGCTCCACTGCTGGACGGGAAAGGGGAGGGGCTCAGAGCCCCCAATGGGGGCAGCGGGCGCTGGAAGTTCTCAGTCAAAATGGGGCAACCAGCTGAGCACCCCTGGAGGGAGGGAGGGGTTTCGCTGCCTGAGCCTGGATCCTCTGGACCGAGTCACGCGGTGGGTTGACCCCCCTGGTTGGGTTTCCCCGTGGCCTGAGGCGGCCATCAGTCAGGCTGCCCTTCCTCCCTTCTAGCCCAGCCTTGTCCCAGACTCAGGCAGAAACAGATGGAAGTTCCATCCTGGGCGGGAGTCCCACCTGCTCTGCAGCCACTGAGGCACAACGGGCCTCTCCCACACACACACAGCACCCAGGCTGGCTTCCTGCGGGCCAAGATACCAAAGCCGGCACCTGAAAGCAGCTCTCCTTCCCTTCCTCTGCTTGGCCTGCAATCCGGCTGCCCTTCTCGCTCGCCCCACGGCCCAGGTGCAGCTGGAACCCCCCCCCTGGGCTGGGCCCCCCCCCCCCCATGCCTTGGTCTTCACAATAATTCCTCGGGTGGAGAGACAGTGAAGTCCACTGGAGGGCGCCAACCTGGGCCAAGCCAGCCTCTGGCTCTGACCACACCCCTTAGCAGCTCCCCTAAGTCTGACGTGAGCCCGCCCCCTAATGGCCAAAGGATGAAAGAACACACAGGAGACGGGCATCCCGATCATCATCGTTTCACCTGTAGGCCAGGAAGAAAAATCTGGGGTGGGGGGGTGGGGGGTGAGGAGGACCGAATCCCCACTGGTCTTGACTGCTTAAGCGGCTCCCCTCTGGGGCCCCAGCACCCAGTTCTCTCCTCCCCCTGCCAGAAAGAGCCAAGCCCGGAGCGAGGTTTTTTGCCTTTATTTGAAATGAATGGTTTCCAGAGAGAGGCCGGAAGGACAGGGGCTGCCGAGTCTTAACGTCCAGTATATCACAACGCGACAACGAGGCCCGCAACTGGCTCACTGGAGACACGGACACTGCAGGGCTGGGCCAGGACAATGTATATACAGGCTCAACAAACAGCACCACCACCAGCCATAGCTCAGAGTTCAACGCCACACACAGAGACGAGGGACCCGGGTGCAAGGCGGCCTCTGAGCCCCTGGAGGAAGAGCAGCAGGCCAGGGCCAGAGGTCAGCGGAAGGGGAGGGGGCGAACAATGGGCCCTGCGGAGCCACCCCCTCTCCTTCTCCCCCTCCCTCCCCACGGCCAGAACTGGCAGGGGCCCGGAGCTCTCGACCCAACCTCCAAGTCCAAAATCCCCTGCCAGTCTGAAAGAGAGGGGGGCCGGGTGACAAGGCCAGCCAAGCGGGGACCCCCGAGAAGCGTGGGGAGGACAGAGGCAGCAGGGGCCCATTCGCCAGGATGGAAGAGGTGGTGGCCAAGTCCTCTGTGCCCACCCACCCAGAAAGGGAAGGGCTGGCGGGCAGCTGCCCCCGGTCCCTGCAGCCGGGGGGGAGCAGCACCGGAGCCCACCTTCTCTCACAACCAGGGCAGCCCGGCTCAGTCCATGTCGTCATCCAGGCCTCCCGCCCCGCGGCTGTGCTCCTCGTAGATCTCGCGCACAGCCAGGATGCGGTTCAGCATGCTCTCCAGCATGCTCTTGTCCATGGGGATGACCGAGTACCAGAGCGGGGACTCTGCGATGCAGGAACGCTCCGGCTGCAGGTAGAAGACGTCGTTGCGGCTGCGGAGGCTCTCGGGGCTGCAGTTCGGAGGGGGAGAGAGACGGGGTCAGGGAGGGGAGCCCTGGCTGGGCATCCTGAGGGACCCACAGCCCTCGGGGCCCAGCCTGTGCTGGAAAAGCCGGAACCAGCACCCTCCCACTCCCCCCTCACCATTTGGAGAGATAGAACTCGTAGAACTTCACCGGGCAGCGCAAGGGGTTCATCCGGTTCTCCCGCTGCTCCAAGACCGGCGCCTCCTCCTCTCGCCTCCGCTTGCCCAGGCTGCTCTCTGCGTGGAAGGGGCAGCAGAAGTTGAGCAGGGTGGGGGTGGGGGGCCGGGGCGGGGGGAAGCAGAAGGCGGAGTCCCTACCTCGGCCCTTCCGGTGCCGCACAGGCGCGTAGTAGCGGATGCTCACGACTTTGGCCGAGCCCCGCGGCGTGGTGCACTTGCGCGACTGCCGCACCACGTTGGTGAAGGAGAGCTGCATGTGCTCCTCGGCCGTCTGCAGCCCGAAGAACTTGGTGTTGAAGAACATCAGGGTGTTGAGCAGCACAAACGGGGAGTAGACGCCCAGCTGCTTGCAGTCCCAGAGGTGCTCCTCTTCCACGCGGGAGAAGACTGTGCCTGCAAAGGCGCAAGACACAGCCAGCCGTCAGGGCAGAAGGCCCGGGGTCGAAACCGGACCGGCGGGGGGGACCTTGGCTCCAGAGAGCCTTGAGCGGCCCGATGCCCCTGGCAGAGCAGAAGGGGCAGCCAGCATGCCTGCCTATGCTGCAAGCGCTGGGAACCCCACTTCCATCATCCTAAGCCCTTGGAGCCCCCCAACTATTTCCATGTGTTCCCACCCTGATCCGAGAGCCAGACTGGCAGCGTTTCGGTCCCAGAACAGCCCTGGGAGAAGAAGCCCTGCTGAAGCTCTCTGCCTTTCCATTCTGGGTGCCCCAGGGCGCTCCATGCTCCCCCACCCCTCCCGGCCGCCTTATCTGAGGAGGCAGCCGAAACACTCATGGATCCAGGCCTGCGGGGAGACCTGGCCAACCCCAGCCGGTCCCTTCAGCAGCCTCCAGCCCCTGCCTCTCCAAGAGGGCACCCCCCCCACAGCAGGCGCTCACTGTTGGGCAGGACGGAGGGCTGCCAGCCACTCAGCAACTTGTTGAGCTCTTGCACGAAAGTCAGGTAATAGAGGTCGGTGAAGATGTTGACCATGCGGTTGTTCTCCAGCAGGTACTGGAAAGGACGAGGAAGAAGGTCACAAGGTCAAAGAGGCCACCCCCAATCTGGGGGTCTCCAGGGGAATCCTCCTGCCAGGGCTGCCCTCTGCGAGTTTCTCACGGTGTAGCAGCAGCTTCTCCCACCCCACGGAAACCCCAAATACAACCCCCAGGGAAGAGGCCATCTCGAGAGAGGACGCCCAGCCGACAGGGCCGCCTGATCCACAGAGAGCATCTGGGGAGGTCTGGGCCTCCCCCAAAGGGCCCGGCTGAGACGGGCCGCTCACCTGCTGGATTCCCAGGCACAGGTAATAGACGCTGTCTGGCTCATAGCGCTCCCCGTTGGGCCGGGTGATCTCCTTGACGAACTGGGCTAGGCCGTAGTTCAGCTCGGCCGCCGTGCAGGCCAGGATGTCCTCCTTGATCCGCATGGGCTTGGCTGCGGGCGGCAACAGGGCAGGCTTACCAGTGGGAGCAGGCAGGGACGCCCGGCGGGGGGGGGGGGGGGGGGGGGGGAGGCTCACCCTCCCCGGCCCTCCTCTCTGCATGTCCCAGACTTACGGCCAAAGCGCAGCTCATCGCCCTTGCTGGTTTCGGCACCGACGTACTTGGCCTGCACCCAACTCTTCCAGGCATTCACCCCGTAGGAGGAGTTGAGGGCTGAGCCGCTGGGCTGGCTGCTCACCGAGTCCCTGGAGCAGCTCTCCGACAGCACCAGGCGCTTCTGGCCCTGCGGGACGGGGGAGGGGGGGGCTTCTGGTGAAATCAGCCCCAGGGAGATGCCCAGGTCGTCCCACCCCCCCCCCCCCGCAACCTGCGTCCCGATAGCCTCCTGCTTTGTCCTGAGAAGACCTAACTTGCCCCGGGTGTCACCCAGACTGGCAAAACCTAACAGGCCGTTTCCCCTCCACCCCATGCAATGAACCCCCCCCCCCCCCCCCGGCAGAAGATTCTCCCTGGGGGGTGGGGGGGTAGTTTGCTTCCCAGGATTCCCACGTTCTTCTTTTTAGCTCAGGGGGATTTTCTCTTCCTGCTGAGTTTTGATGGGGCACTTGTGACTTTTCATTTATCAGAAAGCAAAAAAGGAAAGTCCCCCCACTAAAAAGAAGCTGATTTCCCTGAAAGAAGCATTTTAGCCTCGGTGCCTTTATAAAACCAGCCCGGAAAATGCCACCTCTGGGCCCTTTGGCACCCAAGAGCCTCCCAGCAGAAGACCAGCTCTGGCACTACAAGGTCCTTTTCCGGGGGGGGGGGGGGGGGGCAGCCCGGTGGGACCCACCTTGCGAATCGAGCGAGGCAAGTCTGGGTCCGCAGCAACGTCCTCGGGGCCCACCAGGCTGCAGTCGAAGAGGAAGTCCACGCTGGGATTGATGTCCAAGGGGTCTGCGGAGGAAGGCAGGAGCCGCTGCACACGAGGCCCCCCAGGGAAGGGACACCAGCAGCCCCCTTCTTCCCACTCCCGCCTCCCCACCCTCCCTGGTGCTGCCCTCACTCTTAGGGAAGTCGGCCTCCAGGTCCTGCCCCGGCTCATCCAGGACGTTTGCCATCTTGACCGCCATGGCCAGCACGTCATCCCTGGCTGGCCCAAAGAGGTCGCAATCCTCCAGGAGCCCCTCGGCACTCTGGTTGCTCACCAGGTCTGTGAAGACAGCCGGTGGGGGGGGGGGGTGTCAGGCCTGCAATCCTTCTTGGGGCCCCTGCAAGCATCGGGGTCCTTTTCGCCCACCAGGTTCTGAAGCGCGCAGGACCCTCAAGGGAGGCAGGGAGGGAGAAGCCAAGGCCTCCCTTTGCCCCCTGCCTGCCCCCCAGCCAGGACGCGTAGAGGAGGGGGCAGGAAGGCCCAGGAAGAGGGTCCCGCCCACCTGCGCTGGCCTTCGCCCCCCACTTGCAGAAGGCGTGTGGGCAGCCGCCAAGCCTTCCTGAGCCCAGAGCGCCTCTCCGCCTCCTGCAGGTGCCCCCAGAGGCTGCCCTCCCATGGATGCCCAGCTGGCGTGTCGCCCCCCCCAACCCCCCCCCCCCCCGGGAACCCACCACACAAGTCAGAAGAGGCTTTGTCCAACTCCTCGGCCTCCGCGATCATCTCCGCCATAGCCAGGATGTCGGCCTCCAGGGGGTTGGAAGGGATCTTCACCTTCAGCTCCTCAATGGTCTCCACAATCTTCTCGGTGCTCTCCAGGGTGGTGGGCAGGAACATGGGCACCGGCACCTGGCGGAGGCGACGGGCGGGTCAGGGTCCGGCAGGAGGGGGCGGACGGCAGCGAGGGAGGAGGGCGTACTCACGGGGACTGGCATGGAGAAGGGCACCGGGACCTTCTGGCAGAACATGTTCATGGGCACGGGCACAAAGACTGGCACCGGGATGGGCAGCAGGACCACCGGAGGCTTCCAGTCGTCTGTCAGGAAGGGAACCGTCAGCAGGCCTCCCTCGGCCACCTGGCCGCCCCCCCCCCCCACCCCTGGGGCCAGGCAGCGCCGCCCCCCTTTCCTCCCCCCTCCCAGCCGCCCCTCACCTGTCTGGCAGCCCTTGGACTTCATCTCCGTCTTGCAGGAAACCCCCCGGTTCTGCATGAGAGGCTTGCACATGGCGGCCTTGTTCTTCCGGGGGGTGACCGGCTGGGGGGCCTGGGGGGGAGCGGATGCTGGCGAGGTGGGGGCGGCCTTGGCCGTCTCCTGCAGAGGTCCAGACAGGGCAGGGGTGAGCAGCGGTGGGGGGGGGGGGGGCAGAGCCCCTTCTTCCCCCGCCCCCCCCCCCCCCCCCCCCCCCCCCCCCCGCCCCCGGCCCCCCCCCCCCCCCCCCCCCAGCAGCCAGCCTGAGACTCACCGCGTTGGGCTCTGCTTTCTGGGCAGTGGCGGAGGGCTGCTTGGGCTCCGGGGCCTGACCTGCGCGGGGAGAGAGTTTCCAGGCTGGGGGCTGCAGCTTTCTCCACACCTGCTCTGCCCAGAAGGCCAGAGAGCGCAAGGCTGGCCTAGGCGCTCATTCATCCAGGCACATGGCCCTTCTCCCTCGGGGCAGCAGGAAGCGCAGCCGCCAATCTCCTCACCGAGGAACAGGCCGTGCCCAGGAGACACGGGTCTAAGTCTCGGCAGGGGAATGGAACCACCACTGGGGGAGAGGAGCCCCCCCAACTGGAGGGAAACGCTGGAATGCAGCCCTGGGGGGAGGAGTCCCAAGCTGCCCACGGATCCCTCAGGCAGGGAAGGGCAGGGCTTCTCCCAAGGCTAGTGCATGCCTCTGCCCCCCCCCCCCCCCCCCCCCGGCTCTCCTTCCCTGGGCCCTCCTGGGGTAACAGGGTAGCGTTTCTACTAACCTGTCAGAAAGCCACCCAGCAAAGCTGGCATTCACGCTGGAATGTTCCTTTAGGCACTCAAAAACTAATTCCTAGCCTTCGGACAAGCAGACGTCACTAGGCAGAGGCACCCACCAGTCCGCGCAATTCACACACCAGTCCGGCCATTTGGGCTACACAGCTATAAACAGCTCACTTTCTTAGGGTGGAGGAACACAGCAGCCCTCCCCATTTTGGGCCGCCTCCAGATGTGTGGACTTCAACGCCCAACCTTCCTGAGTCAGCAGGGCCAGTTCTGAGAATTGTGGATGGTAAAAATCCATCCACCGTGAGTGTGTGTGTGTGTGTGTGTGTGTGTGTGTCCCCTGCCCTGGGGGGGAAGGTTGGTGGGAGAAGTCACAAACGTTCGCTTTGAGCGTATGACAGGACACCCTGCTCTTAAAGGCTGCGAGCCGCTGTCAATCAAAACCCTTACCAAGAGCAAGGTCTGGCTACTGCTAGGAGCCCTCCGCCCTTGTGAGATGCCTTCCTCCTAGGAGAGGCGGGCAGTCTGGTTTCAGCTGCCCTCCTGAACCCCGGGATCCAAGGGGGAGCCCAGCTCTGAAAGGCAGGGGTAGCCGCCAAACCGCTTCCCTCAGCCCCACCGAGGGCATCCTCAAGTGGTTGGGACCAGGACAAAGGACAGAGAAAGGAACTTATTGTCTGCCTAATTTTACCAGCTGAAGTAACATGGCACAACATTGGAAAGTGTTACTCGTGTTAACAGCTGAGATGTGGATAAACAAGGCTTTTTCAACTGCTACTTTAGAAAAGATTACAAGTAAAGTTAACATTTAAAAACACCGGGGGGGAGGGGTGGGAAGAACCACAATTCATCAAAATTGGATGGATTTTATATTTTACCTCAGTTACAACAGACCTTCTATCAATACAATTTAGATATGTGGTAAATTATGGTCATATTATGACCTGCCAAGACAGGAAGAGGGTAAAATATATTTTAGGTCTGCAGCAGACAGATAATATTCGGAAGAGGCTCAGACACCTCTCTACTTCATTGGACTGGGAGGAGGAGGAGGAGGAGGAGGAGGAGGAGGAGGAGGAGGAGGAGGGGACCTGCAAGAATCCGTTGTATAGCCAACTACAATAAAGATACTTTTAGTTTTCCTGTGGAGTTGATGTCTTGGCGTGGTCTACTCAGACGTTTTGAAACGCTTTTTTGGAGCAAACCAAACCAATGTGATTAAGTAAACGCCATGTAGAACCCAGGAATGGCCACGGCAGGCACCCAAAATGCAGCGTGGAAAAGCCCTCCTGGGTGTAAGTCCCAGAGCCCCAAAGTGTGGACCAGCCCCGAGCAATGGAGGACAACAGACCCGCTGCCCACCCACCACCCTGGGATCCAAAGCCTCTTCCTCCCTAGAGACACTTTGCCACACCGCCTGTTTGATATGGGGGCACCTTTGGCTGCCCTCCTCCCGGATGGCCCGGCATGTCAGAACCAGAGAGGTGAGCGAGAAAGGGGAGGCCTCCCGGCGGAATTCCAGCCCACGACCCTCCCCCACGGGGCCAGTGCAGGATCCTTCCTTCGCCCCATTTCCACTCATGCGCTTCCGAGTCTTGGCTGGCCGAAGCACCGGCTACTCACTGTTCAGCAGACTCTCGGGCCCTTTCTGGGTGTCCAGGTTGGGCTGGTTCTGTTGGTTGTAAAACCTCAACAGACACTGCTGGTTGCAGAAATGCTTGATTTGACCCCGCCAGTGAATGGTTTCCAACAGCTTCCCCTGCCGCTTGCAAGCATGGCACCGAGCTGCCTGCGGGCACCAGAGAGGGAGAGGAAGGGTTAGGCCAACCCACCAGGTGCAGGATCTCATCCTCCCCACAGCTTCCCACATCTGGCAGAGCAGCTTCCGGCTTCCCTGTTGGAAAACCAAACTTTTACTGTCATGTTTAGATCCTGGGCTGAGATACGAACCAGACCCAGATCTCCCAGGGGGCTTCCCAGGCTAGGCTGCCTTGCTTCTGTCCCAGGCCACCAGTCACACCAACACAGCTGGTGGACAGTCCAACGGGGGGGGGGGGGGCGGGGGCGCCCCTCCCCCCCCCCCCGGTTCGGGGGCACGGGAGGGGGGGAATCAAATGCCCTTGGCCCCGGGGGAGCCCCCCCCCCCCCCCCCCCGTGGGAGAATCTCTGGGCCCCTATCCACGGAAGAGCTCTAGCAAGCCAGCCACAAGCGGCTCCTGGGATGTGGCTTTTGCGCCCTGAAAGGGGACCGGAGAGCAGCTGCCCATGGTTGTCTCCCAAAGGCAGATGGGGGGGGGGGAGGCTTGATGCTTTGAAGCCAGCAGAACAGCTTCGGGACCCTCTGACCCACCTCACAAGGGGGTGGGGGCTTGTGATCCAGAGAGTGTCACTCTGGAATTCCCAAAACCCGGGAGGGCTTTCCTTAAAACACTATTTGGGGCTTCCGGTGGCGTTTCCGTCGAAGACGGACTAGAGACCGCGGTCGTGCACGGCTTTGATCCATGCTTGTCCTGTTGGAGGGGTCCCTGAGGGACCGAACCATCTGACCCACCTTGTAGGGGTGGGGGGAAGAGGGGGAGACCACCAGCTGGGTTGAGGGGAGCCACATCTCCCCTCCCTGGCTTGGTATCTATTCCCCTAGAAGACAGGGAGAAGCAGCAGTTTAATGGCTGCCCTGAAGACTGGAAGCTGCCGGGACTTAAGTTTGTGCTGGAGAGTGGAAGTGGTGAGTGGCATGTAACTGGATAAAAGACTTTGAATACTTTTTTTTCATAACCCCGAAAAGCGGAAAGAAAGAGTCCTCGTTTGGAAGAATGGTAGCCGCGAACAGAGAATAAGAGGAAAATATAAGGTAAAGGAAAAACCGGAAATAAAAGAATTATATGAAAACAGAGATTAAATTTGGACTAACATACAGAATTGGACATTAATTAGGCATTGGATAAAATGCTGGATTTATTTGGAATGGATAAAATTTAACCTTAATACTACAAAAAATAGAATTAAAAATTAAAAAAACTTTGAAAAGAAAGTGATATAGAGCACTATCTAATGGTTAAAGATTTTCTTCTTTTATGCTTTTATGGGAAATTACTGGTCGTATAAATATTTGAAAGAAAGAAGAAATGGAATAAAAGATTATTAATACAACAAGAACCCTGAAAGCTTTAAAAAAAGGTGGGGACTATAGTAAAATATAAAGGAATACAATATTTTGAGACTGCTGGAGGTTGACTGTGTCAAAAAAACAGAAGAGAGAGAGAGAAATGGAGACTTTTGGCAAGGATAGAAAAATTGGATCTTTAATAAAAGAAAATTGAAGAAATAAGCAAAGAATTTAAGTCACAGCTGCAAACTGTGAGATGTATGTTAAAAGAAAGAATGAGATTGCTGGATACAATGATTAGTAAGGTAATGGCGTCGCAGCTTGCAGAAGAACAAAGAAAGCCCAGAGATGATGAGTTGGAAGAGGAAAAACAACAGCCTAGAAGAATATGGAGGACCATTGCCAAAGAATATAAAAGGATTTAAAATAGAGACACTGACAACAGAGACAACAAATAAAAGAGATACGGCTCCCAAGACTAAGAAGAAGAGGGAATTATATAAGAAGAAACCCCAAAAAAGAGAACTGAAAAGGGTGGGGGAAAACATGGCAGGCAGGCAGAGGGGAATAAAAATAATACTAGAAAGAAAAAAGAAGACCGGGGAAACTTAGAAAAGGGAAAACTGGCTAAAATTAAAAGAAATAATAAAGCCGAGAAATTTAGAGATAAGGGTTAGGGATTTTATAAGGGGGATACCACACGGGAATGTATATTGGTATTTAACTTAAAACTTGCTGCGAAATATTTTAGGACTGTATAATTATAAGTATGTATGTATGTATGTATGTATATGAATATGAATTGTATATGAATTATGCTGTTATGAACCCTTTGGAGGATTAAAAACAGGTGAATGGAAATGAATTAAAATATAGAGACAAACTGGCTAAGGGGAAAGGAAGAAAAAACATGATTATTAATGATTACAAGAAAAGTGAAGATAAAATGAGACATATTAAGAAGTTACTCTAGCGATTTTTTGGGGGGGATATCTTAAAATATATACATTTTAAAATATACAGTTGATTATTTAATGGATATTAGAAGCGTACAATGAGAATATTTTATTATGATTAAAGTAGGGGAGAGGAAAACACCATGTGGATCCTAAATGCATTGGCTTTATTTTACTTTTACTTTTTTTTAGATTATTATAATTTGGCTTTGAGAAAATTAAGGATAATGATGATGCGTAATGTAAAATGCAATAGGAGGAGGCTGAAAATGGAAATAATAGGGGAATAAAGAATTGAAAACCTACGTGTGGATGAAATGATATTGATATTGAATAAATTGAAATATGAAATGCAAGTTTATTTAAAGATGAGTCAAATGGGTAACGATATGAGATGATACTATATAAGATTAATGGAAATGAATTTATGACTATGTACTAGTGTTATAATCCGGAATCATGTTGCTCACGTGAAAAAATGTGTAAAAATAAAATAAAAAATTTTAATTAAAAAAAAACACCACTATTTGGGAGAGTTCCAGACAGGAAGCTCAGCCTCTTCATGGCCCCGGTTCTTACGGCCCCTTTTACTTCATCATCATCATCATCATCATAACAACAAGGCTTTATGGATTTGCCCACTTGGTGCCCTCAGGAACATTTTAGCCTTTAATGCAAGGTGAGGCCACCCCATTCGCGTGACTGGGACTGGCAGGCCCGCTCCCCAAAGAAGGGGAGGACAGAAGGACCGCACTGACCTTGTAGTACCAGAGCAGGTATTTGCTCTTGCAGTCGTCGCTACAGAAGTCCCAGGTGCTGCCCTCCAGCTGCTCGGTGACGGCTCGCTGGCAGGTCTGGGAGCAGTAGGTGCAGGTCACACAGCAAAGGCCCAGGTTCTTGGTGAAATCCTGTTTGTAAAGAAGCACACACCCTGCGGAGAAACAAGACGGATGAAAACCTCCCAGGGGGGCGGCCGAGCGGCAACAGGAGCCCACCGCAGGCAACCACAGAGAGACCAAGCACGGCACAGACACACACGCACACCTGACACAGCCCTTCCTGCACTGGCCCCGGGCGGCCTGGGGGGTCCCCGTCGCTCACCTCTCCAGTCCTAAGGCCGACGCGGCCTCTCGCCCCTGCCCACCGCATGCAACGACCTGCCCCGAGGAGACGGCGGCCGGCCGGGGGGGACTTCTGCCCTCGGCAACGATCGAGCTCCCTGCCCGGGTACCTTCGCTGCAAAAGTTCTTCTCCACTCCCGAGAAGCGGATCTTCTCGTGCAGCAACTTCTCCTGCTTGCAGTGCTCGCACTGGGACACCACCCCGCGCAGCCGCTTGAAGTCCTCGCAGCAGTCCCGGCAGCAGAACTGGTAGACCTTGTCCTGGCAGACGGAGCGGGCGTCAGGCAGGCCCAGCCCCCCGCGGGGCAGCTGAGCCACAGGAGGCCCAGCGGGGCGTGAGCGGAGGGGCCCCTGCCCCTCCCTCTGGGGCAAGGTCTCTCGCCTCCTCCCTCCGGCGGCCCCCTCACCTGCCAATCCAGGATCTCGGGCTTCCCATTGAAGAGGTTGTGGCAGGAGTGGCAGGTCAAGTGGATGCCACCTTCCGGGCTGGAGCGCTGCATTTTGAGGGAAGGGGAGAGATTCAGAAGGGGCCCACGGACCCTGCCCACCGTGGCCATCCTTGCTGTGCCCAGCGAGGACTGCCCACCCAGCGCCTCCCGGCCCCTGGCCTGCCCCCTGCCCACCTCATCGCTCAGTTTGTCCCTGCCCCCCCCCCCCCCCCCCCCCCCCGCCCCCTGCCCGTTCCCAGCGCCCCCCCCCCCCTCCCAACCCCGTGGCACCAAGCAGGGGCCCCACCAACAGCCCCCCCCCCCATGCTGCTGCTGCTGCTCCTGGGAGGGGCAGGCTTTGGCCAGGGAGAAAGGCAGCCCAAGACCAACTTTCTGCGAGTGGAATAAATTATGCAAATCACACAGGAGGTTAATTTCACTGATTTATTGGATAGCAGACACAAACTCTCTTCGTTATCGGCAGAAGCAAAAACAGTTTTATTTGAGACAATGACCCCCACGAGAGATTCAACATCATAGATATAGAAAGATCCGTAAGCTACGAATGAGATATGCAGCCTCGCCCCCCCCCTGTCCCCCCCCCCTGCCCCCCTCCCGGTCATTGGCTAGGCTTCTGTGATGTCAGCGGGATCCTGAATGTCTCCACTTTGAGAAGATGATTCAGTCATGCAACGCTGCAACGGAGAACAACGGCTGGGACGACAAGGGGAAAGATGAACTCAGCAGAAAGGAGGGAAGAAAGGAAGAAGGGGAGGTATGGAAGGAGACGGGCACAGGCGATGGCAGAGCGTGGAGAGGGGAGCGCGCCAAGAGCCCCAAAAGCAAGAGGGGGGGGGACCTCACACACACAGCCTGGGAGGGGGGCCGGGCCCAGAGGCCCGGAAGGAGGCTCTTCTCCAAGCAGCACCAGAATTTGAGAAGGCAAGTCAACACACAGGCAGATTATTCACAGATTATCCACTCGGAGGAAAGAGGGCTGATGGCGTAAGAAAGGGGGGGGGCGCAAAGAGAGGGGGGGCCTCTGCTCGGCCTGGGGATTCCCTACACCTTCTGAGTCTCAGGGCCATTAGCAGGCACCGCCTTCCCTACTCAAAGCTGTCCTCAGCAAGCAAGGGGAGCTAGGAGCCTCTTCCTTTTCAAAGAAAGGCGAGTGCAGAGAGAGGCCAGAAGTCTGGCGGGTGCCCAGACTGCAGCCGTGCAGAGCCCCCAGAGGGCTCCTGGGTCTGGGCCTGTCACTGGGACGGCGGGAGAGCCTCCGTATGTACCTGGAATTTGGTCCAGCAGCTGGGGCTGCAGAACTGGTACACCACCTGCTTGTTCTTGTTGTAATAGCAGGGCTCAGACAGGCTCTTCCGGCAAAAGCTGCAAGGCCGGACGGGTCCTGGGGAGAGAGGAAGGGCACAAGGCCGGGTCAGGGGGGGCTCCTCTCTTCCCCAGAGCCCCAGCCTCCCCACACTGGGCCCACAGAACCCATTGCCTGGGGTACCTGTCAGTCCGGCCTGCTTGACCTTGTAGGAAGTGGTGCAGCAGACGGAGCAGAAGAGTGCCAGCTGGCCGTTCCGGTCCTTGTGGGAGAGCATCTCGAAGTTCTTGCAGAGTGTCTTGCACCACGTGCAGGGGTAGAGCCGGACGTGTTTCTGCAGAGAGCCAGGGCAGGGGGGGGGCTGCTGGGCAGGCTAGCTGGCAGGCCCCGGACCCTTCCTCCCCCTCCCCTTTCACCAACGCCAACCGGGGGGCTTCCCTGCAAGGCCACTGGGGCAGCCTGGGGGGGCAGGATCAGGTGGCCCCCAAGCACACAACCCTCAGGGCCCTCCCCAGAGAGCTTGGCCCCCCAGGGCCCGGGCCCCCCCCACCCAGCCGAACGTACCTTCTTGTAGCTGTTGAGGCAGGCGGAGTTGCAGAAACGCTTCTGCTGCCCCTCATGGAAAAGGTACTCCAGGGGGACCCCCTTGTACAGGTAGAGGCCGCAGCTGTCGCAGCAGTTGGTCTTCAGCCCTTTGGTGGCCCGGAACTTAGTGAAGCAGGCGTCGCTGCAGATGCGGTGCACCACGCTGCCATTGCTCACTTCATGCTGGATCTGAAGGGGAAGCAGAGCGGTCGCAGGCTGGCCACAGCCCCCCCCCCCCCCCCCCAGCGCCAGGGAGGGGAGTTCAGGAGGCAGGGAGGCGTCCGTGGCCTTCCCAGCAAGAAAGGCCTTGCTCACCTCTCCAGTCTTGTAGCACACACTGCACCGGACAGAGTCCGAGGTTTCGGCTGCCTGCGTGGCCGGTTGCTGCTGCTGCTGCTGCTGCTGCTGCTGCTGCGCTTCGTAGAGCGAGAGGCAGACGGAGGTGCAGAACTCGAAGAAAGAGTTGTCGGAGCCGATCTGGGCCACCACCGACTCCTTGGTGTTCCAGATCTCCCTGAAGGGAGGAAGAGCAGCGTCAGGCTGGGGGCAGAGCGGGGCCCCCTCCCCCCACGGGACACAGCAGGCCAGCAGCAGGAGACTCTCCCACAGTCCGGGGGGGGGGAGCAGGGGGGCCAGGGAGCAGTCCCGGCGGAAGTGGGGCAGGGCCTACTTCTTGCAGAAGGTGCAGCTCTTCCTGCTGAGGGGCCGCTTGGAGAAGGTGGTGAGGCAGGAGCTGGAGCAGAAGAGCTGCGGGAGCCCCTTGCGCTGGTAGGCCGTCTGGCCCTTCTGCAGCGGCGTGCGGCAGTTGGCGCAGGTCATCTTGGTGACGGTGGAGCGGGGCGCCCGCGGGGCCACCTGGCTGCGCAGAGACAGGCGGGTGGGGCGGCGGGTGCGGAAGGGGACAAAGTCCTCGTCGTTGGGGTCGTCCACCATGGCATCCGAGTCCTCGTCAGAGACAGGGACTGCGAGGCGGGAGGGAGGGAGGGAGGGGTTTAGCGGGTTTGTTTCTCTTTTGCACGTTTCCCTTTTGTATCGCTCTGACTTGAGTCTTTCGCTTGTTCTCCTGCCTGTCTCAGCAACGGAAGGGCCGGCCCTCCGCACCTTCCAAGGAGGCATTGAACGGGCGGGAGAGAGAGGAGGCCTGGACCCAAACTCTGCCCTAGCCCCACTTTGGCATCCCTTGCCGGAAGAAAGCCTAGGCCAGCGGAGAACCTGCCCCTGGCCGGCGGGGCCAGCCCTTCTTTCTCACCCAAAACTTCTCTGGGCCGGGCAGCCCAGCCTCCCCGGAAGGCTGGCAGCCTGCTCTGATCCCGAGTGACCCGCTGCACCATTGGGGAGCCCCCCCCCGCACCCCCCCCCATTCGGGTGGACTTACTGCTCTCTGAAGAGTTGACCGTTTCTGGCCGAGACACCTCTGCCCTCCTGGCTCGCTCGCTCCTCTTCTGTTCCTGGAAGACACCCGGGAGTCACCACTGCAGCCACTGGCGGGGGGAGCCTCCCCAAGGAAGGCGACCCTCCAGCCCAAGCCAGCCTGTCCACAGGCTCTGAGCTGGGAAGGGGGAAATGCAGGCCTGGGCCTTCCAAACACAGCCAAGGCCCGAAGGAAGAGATGGGTGCCCAGCTGGCCTCCCCCAGCCCTCGCCTTACCCTCTCAACCCTTTCAACGGGGGCCTCGGCTCCCTTGGCAGCGGCAGCTTCCCCTGCAAGAGAAGAAGACGAGAGAGACCCAATGGCCACCTGTGTTCCCCACGGAGGACCCACCCGAGGAGACCCCACAGCCATGGTGGGGAAACCACCCCTGGGGAGGGCGATGTGGGGCAATGGAGGGAGGCCCAGAGGCCACTGGACTTCCTGGTTTTTCCTTGGGGACGACGCTTCACTTCTCACCCGAGAACGGATGAGGAGCCCCGGCTGCCTCGAAGAAGCACCTTCAGGTCCCCCCACGGCCTGGACGACCGGGAGACAAAGGAGGGAGCTTTAGAAGGGGCCCAGTCTTCAGAGGAGGGACTGGGAGGATCTGCACGTGGAGGAAGATCTACCCAGCCAGGAGTGGCGCACCACAAGGCAGCAGGGAAAGAAGCCGCAGGGGCCCTGGGAGAAGGCTGACCCACCTGCAAGGGAGGGCGGGGGTCCCGTCTCTCGCGCTTTTGCGGCTTCGCTGACGCCACTTTCGTTCTGGGCTGCACTCAGAGACCCCTCGGCCACTTCCAGAGGAGGCAGTGGGGGCGGCCCGGGCTCAGGAAGGCTGTTCGGCGGGGGCTCTCTGTCCTGCCCTGCGGGGGCCAAAGTGTCCTCCTTTTGCTCCAGGGAGTTCTTCTTGGGGGATTTCAACCGGGGCTTCTTGGCCAGCCGTGGGCTTGTTGGGGGGCTGCCGGATGAGGGGGCGGCTTCTTGGGAAGGCGGCCCGCTCCTCACCTCAACCAGCTCCGGGTCCTCCTTGGCGGAGCTGTTTGGAGCCCAGCCTGTGTGCTTGGCGTGGCTCTCCTCCTCCTCCTTGCCTGCTTGGGACCCCCCTTCCTCCTGCAAAGCTTCGGGGCCCAAGGGTTCAGTTGCCGGCACAGGGGGGGCTTCGGTGCCATTCTCTGGGTCCACAGAGCCACGTGCCTTGAACAAGCCGTCGGGGGCCCCAGACTTGTCCAGCACCTCCTGGTCCCCCCCTTTGCTCAGGCTGTCCAGAAGGTCCGGCTTCTCCAGGATCTCCAAAGTGCTGGGCTTACTCGGGGCCAAACTCTTTGACTTGCTTAGGGTGGACAGGTCCCTCGCTTTCCCCAGGCCAAACTCCAAGCTCACGTCAGACGTCGCTTGCTTAGGCACCTCCCACTCCATCTCTTGGGACTGGACAGTCGCTGCTTGTGGGATGGAGGCTGTTTGGGAGGCCAGCGGATCCTCTCCGAACTCCAGGGCCGCAGGGAGATCCCCAATCAGGGGCTTATTGTGCAGAGACCGGGGCCCCAAAGAGGCGGGGAATTCTCTGGAATCCATTCAGAGACACCCAAGACCTGAGAATCGGGAAAGGAAAGAGGTCAGTCCTTCTTCGCTGACCCACCTGCAAATCAGTAAAAAGATCCCCCCCAGAAACCTATTTCACATAGGCCCCCCCCCCTTAACTGATTCTGAACCCCAACTGATCTGAAAAAGCCCAATCAAAATGATCCCTTGTGAAGCAACTGATCCATGACGAATACAGCCCCATGCTGGCCCGTGCAGAGCATTAACTTCGGGAAAAGCAAAACTGGGACCAACCCGGAGTGTCAGTTGGAAAAAAATTAAAAATACTTTGTGTCCGTAGAACACGCTTAATTGAAGTATTGTATTAGCCCATTTTCTCAGGCTCACAATGCCCTGAACTGCAAACCCACCAGAATGAAAACTAATGTTAAGGCCAACCAAGTTTAATGCGTTTCACAAACGCAGCCATTGGATCTTGGTTTAGGATACTGTATGAATAAGCGATAGAATTAGGCCCACTTCTATCAGTAGCCTGGCATTAAGTATACCTTTCAAAATAATATAGCGCTCACACAATGAACACATAGCAGGCTCTGTTACTGAACGCTCGGGCAGTGCAAAACCAGCCCAGGACCTGCCTGATGACCTTCTGCCCCAACCAATGCAGAAAAGAGCACCCATGCTACCTTCACACCCTGGACCAAGTGGAGAATTTCCGCCCTGGGCAGCTGTGCCACGTTTCGCACAACAGGCACAGGGGTCTGATGACTTAGCGGTGTGTGTGAATGGGCCATAGACCATCAGCATAGCTACGTTTTAGTCTGAAAGATCTTCATGGGCCCACAGCCACCCAACCGAGCCTCTGCCCTCCTTCGCTTTTAAATGGAAACCTGAGGTTTGGTGCCTGGACCGGTCACTTTTTAACAGCTAAATGCATTTACAGCAGTCTTTTTCTACACCCTGCTGTAAGCGGAGCTAAAAGGAGGCACACAAGTCAACGCTAGCACCTCAGACCACCCAGCTCTTGTGGTAGTAGCACTCAAAAGAGGCAAAAAGTTTCTTGGGATAAGCACAGGCGTGTTTAGCAAGCCACACAACTACGCAAAGGGAGATTTTGCTTGCTGGTCTCCGGCGGAGGGTGCCAGCCCTAAGCAGCCACAGGGCAGCTTAGAGGGCTACGACAACTGTCTGGCCACAATTCCTTCATCTGCAATGTGAGAGGGAACCTGCCTACAGGGCCAGCCTGGGCAGAGTTAGAGGTAGGTGGCTTCCAGGGCTGAAGGTGCAGCAAACACTTTCCTTTCTCCGGTAATGAAATCTAGCAGGTTCTGTCCTTCACTGGCCAATGGTTTTCCTCAGGTGATGTAATACCGCCTGAGAGGGTGCCAGACCCTGAAAAGTGCCCGTCGGAACCTGCTGCAGCCCACTCGCTGTTGGGCAAGGCAGAGCCACCCACTCAGGCCTGGGGATGCAAGGGTCCTTCTTGCCGATGCTCTGCAGCAGGACCTTGGTGGGGTGGGTTGTCCTTAGCCTTCCATAGCACCCACCCTAGCCTGGAGTGGGAAAAATTGGTTTGCGGTGCTTCTGCCCCCTCCTAAGCGGGCAGTTCCAATTGAGCTTGTTAGGGGAGAGAGTTTGCCCTCGGGCAACCCAACTGTGGGGTCCACAACCATTCAGAGATGTCACGGGTGGCCTTGGGGTCAGGCACCATCAATATGCTGATCCTACCCAGCTTCACGTTTTCATCTCTATCCGGGTGAAATAGGAGACGTCGTGGGATTTTTACGAGGGTCTGAAAGGGGCAGATGGAATCTCAGCAATATGGCATTACTGTCAGTCTCTGATCTTCCGTGGAGGCTCATTTCTCCTGAAGGGGCAGGTGTACAATCTGGAGAGTTCTCCTGGACGTGCGGTTCCAAGGAGAACAGCAGAGAGAGGCTGTGGACAGGACAGCCTTTGCCCAACTGCAGCTGGCCCACCAGTTACACCTTCCCTTGACCAGGTGGTGCTGAGGACTCCTTGGTTTGGAGTGGTTGGTACTCCTGCCCTTCTGTCTTAGGCTATTGCAACCTGCTTTATGTGGGGCTGCCCTTGAAGGTAACTTGGAAGCGGCAGCTGCTCATTCACTGACTGCCCCAGGCAGCTCCACCTCTATTTTAAGGGAGCTCTGCTGGTTGTCCAGGCTTCCGTCTTAAGGTAAGGCCCCGGTGGTTCCTTTTAAAGCCCCTTATGGCCTCCAGGACCGTCTTCTCCCAACAGAAACTGCCTGCGGCCTGTGGACTGAGAGTTGGATGCTGCGGCTTCCCCTTCTCCAGGAGAGATCAAGACGCCCGAGAGGTCCAGCAACAGCCCCCTCCAAGGACAGGCTGCCTCCCACCCTTTGGGGTCTTCCAGCAGCCCTGATTGCAAAGACCCGTTTGCAGAAGACAGGAGGTTTTCTTGTCCGCTGCCCAGTTTGACAGGCAGCCACACTTTTTCTATCGAGAATACCGGCCCGCACCCCCCCCCCCCCTGCGGGGCTCCCCAGTGCAGAGCGCCCAGCCCCTCCCCCTTCAGAGGCGCGGGGGGCCCCCAACCCCCCAGCCCCCCCCCGGCGCCCCGCCCGGGGCCCCCCCCCTCCCCGGGCGGGCCTCCTGCCAGGGCCCGGCCTCCCCGCCCCCAGGGGCCCCAAATCTTCCCGCCGCAGCCCCGTTTCCCCTCCGAGCCCGGCCAGCCTGAAGGCTCCGCTTGAAGGCCCCCTCAACAGGCTTCTCGAAGAGCGACCCCCGGAGGGATCCCGCTTTGGGGAGGCGGAGCGCGGCCCCCGCCGACCTCCGTTGTGCCAAGTCACGGGCTGCTGAATCCGGGCTGGTCAAAGAAGCCGCGTGGGGAACGCCAGACCTCCCGGGGAAGCACCTGCGGGAGATCCCGCCGCTCCGGGCCTCCGCCATGCCCGCCCGATTGCTCCGCGGCTCAGCCTCGCCGGAGTCCTGGCGGGGAGCGAGACCCAAATGGCGGGCGGGACTCTCAGCAGATCCGCCTCGCCGTCGCGGACCCCCCTGCAGGGTAGGCCGGCCGGAGCCGCCACCCCGTCCAAGCAGGCCCCCCCCGCGCCCCCGCCGCTCCGGGCCCGCCCCCCCCCCCCCCCCCCCCCCCCGGGGGGGGGGGGCAGGGCAGGGCCCCTCCCCCTCCCGCCCGTACCGGCAGGGCCCCTCCCCCCGCGCGCCCCTCCCCCGGGCCTTGGCCCCGCCCCTCTCGCGCCCCACCCCCTCCCCTCACGAGGTCATCGCCCCCGCCCCGCGCGGCGGCCGCCCTCACCTGCCGCTCCCCGACTCCGCCACAGCGCTCGCCCCGCCGCGCCCGTCCCCGCCACAGGCGCTGCCGGAGCCCCCGAGGAGCGTGCGGAGGCGGCGGCCCCTTTAAATGGAGGCGCGCTCGGAGCTCTCCGCGCGCCGCAGCCCGAGCGAGGGGGAGGTCGGGGAGGCCACCCATTGGTCGGGACCCAGCCAGCGCTGCGCCCCGATTGGCTGCCGGCTCCCGGGCCCTGCGTGCCGATTGGCTGCACTCTCACCGAAGCTCGCGAGACTGGCCGCAGCAGGTTGGTGGCTCTCAAAACCCGGCGCGGAGCTTCCCACTCGTTCGGATCGAGCGGGCAAGGCGGAAAACCCGGAGCGGCAGAGCGCGGGGCGGAGTCAGGGGAAAGGCGAGTGGGGGGGGGCTGAAGGGGGTCGAGGAGGGGCTCCGTCCTCCCGCCGTTCCTGCGCCCCCCTTCAGAACTGCCCCCAAATCCGGGGGGGGGCCGCGGGGAGAGCCGGCGCTGCGTCCAGGCCCACCCGCACCCCCCCCGCCGGCGGCGCCCTCACCTCCTCCCTCCGGCCAGGGGCTCCCTCGGCGTTCGCGGCGGGGCGGCGAGGCAGTGAGGAGTGCGCGGCCAGGGTGGGGCGGTCGCGGGCCAGCGGGGACCGCCCCCGGGACGGACGAGGGGCGCCTGGAGACCCCCGCCCCCTCCTCGCGCCGCCCCCTCCGCCCTCCGCAAGGCGAGGCGTCCCCGCCAAGCGGCAGCCCCCCCTCGCAGAACCTGCCCTGCCCCCCCAGGCCCCCTCCCCACTTCCGCAATTGCCCCAAAGGGAGAGCCGACCCGTTCGGCCTGGGGCCGGAGGCCCCTCTTCCCCTTCGGGGCTGGCAGGGAGGCCCTTGCTCGGGACCCCCTGGACCTGGCACATGCCGACCTCAGTGGCACTGAAACTCCCCATAGGAGGCAAGGGGCAACAAGGGGAGTAGCCCTCGGCATAAACTCTCCCTGGGGGCAGGGAAGCCCTGGCCCATTGAGGACCCCCTGGTCCCGTTTCCAAGAAGGGCCTCCCCACCGGTGGGCAGCTGCAGGGGGTGCCTGGACAGGCCAAGGATGCCAGCCTGGCGGGGCGGGGGGGCTTTTGGTTGGAAAGGGTTCTGGGGGGCTGGGAACGTCCCCCTCGTGCTTTGCCCTGGCACTTCCAGATCCAGTCAAATATTCCTCAAGCTTCCAAAGAGGATTTATTTTTAAACTTATCAAGCGTGGCCACCACTCTGGGCCTGTTGCCACCACTGGGGGCTCCACACGGCTTCTTGAAGGAGGCTCCCAGCGGGCAAGCCTTTATCCTCAAGCCTCTGCGGGAACCAATGAAGCATTCCATGTTCTGTGACATCAGGCGGTGTCCATGGGCTCCCTTGCAAAAGAGAGCGCCCAAGGAATTGCTCCCAGTCACTCTGGGGCGTGTTCACACGGCATGGCCAACCAGGTCAATCACAAGCCTCCTGCTTCATTTTATCTTTGCTGCTTTTTTATCTTTATCTTAGTTAATTTTATCCAAGTTGCTTTTTTCTGACTTCGGCTTGTGTGAATCCAGCATGTTATAAATATGGATTAAGTCGACAGTCAGGCACTGTGTGCTGTAGGAACCGGCCACTGTTCTCCGATACCCCTCAATCGCAGAGGGTGCACACATCTGCCTTTAAGTTGCTTGAAAGGGAAGCAAAATTATTTTGATTAGTGCCAATCTTAGTTGGGTGGCAATGATGGAGGCTTGTCACCTCTTGGTCACTCCTCACAGGGACTGCAACTGTGTTTCCCAACCTGCATTTTTCTCTGAAAAGATAGCATGGCAGGCCACTTTCAGCTCCACACAGCTTGACCCTGGCTGGGGCCAACATCAGAAAGGGCCACTTCTTCCCCAGGCCAACATGCAGAGACCTGGCAGACCCAGCCCGGCAAAGTTCTGTGCGGTGCCCCGTGACATGCGCAAGCTGGTCCCTGGGGAGAGGCAGCCATTGAAGGGGCTTCCTTGGAATCAAGCTGGGGGATGCCTCAGAGGCTTTTCCCTGGTTGCCAAGAGGGCGGGGGATGACACCTGGCCCGGCCCTCTTGCCGGCCCTCAGCAGAGTCCTGCTCTCTGCACTGCTGGCCCCTCCCCCATTCGCCCTGGCTGGCTCTCCAAGGGGGCTCAGCAGCACCTCCAGAGGGAATCATGGTCTGGGGCCTCGGTGGGCGGAGCGAGAAGCCCTGGCTTTGCTGCCTGAAAGGCTGAGCTGCCTGAGGAGCTGGACAATGCCTGCCTGCCCCCTCTTGTGTGTGCCCATCTTGCACCGGGAGCAGCTCCACCCCAAAACATGTCTCAGCGGTCCTCCAGCCTCCCTCCACCAATCTCAGTGCACAGGCTAGGAATGGCGTTTCTGAGATCCAAGGGTAAACAACTGCGGAGTGCTCAATTGCTGCCTCTTCCCCACCCCCACCCCTTCTGAGCTTCCTCTCTGCCAGCCTCCTGCTGCAACAGCCTCCAGGCACATGGCATTTCCTGCTGCTTTCCCAGGGAGGCCAGGCAGCCAGAAGGGAGAAGCGCAGCATCTGGTCTGGCAGCCACGCATGCAATGTAGCTCAGGGTGGACAGTTCCAGGGCTGTGGGAGCTGCAGAGCTGTGGCAAGGGTGGCTCTCTATGGGGGTCTGTAAGGGTGAAGAAGTTGAGATATTGCTTCATTTTGTTCTATAACCGTGCAGGGTTATGTTAGCAGGTTAAAAATCTGAAGGTGCAGAGTGAATCGGCTTCTGTCTAGGAGGGGCTCTCTGCCAAAAGGGCTGGCTGGTTCCATCGCCTGATATTTCTAGGCTGGCTCAGGTCAGGCAAAGCATTGGCACCTCTGCTCTACCCACCAGGCACCTGGTCTTTCTGGCAAGACTCTTGATCTTTGGTACTTAAAGAACTGGCATTGCCACGTCTTTTCACTTGCCACCTTCTCCAGAGTGGCTCACGTACCTCAAGAGGGCAACCTGGGGGCAGAGGGTGGGTGAGGGAAAGAGCAGGCCCCATGGCTGCAGCCAGGGAAGGGGCATAGCTAGAGCTGATCTAAGGATGGGGAGAACAGCCATTAACCATGATTTGTCTATCACATTCCTTCCCCCTTAAAACTGGACCTCTCTCGTTGGACGGACACCCCTTGGTGGGCTGGCTTGCATTCTGGCCAGCTGGTTTCCTTTGAGCACATCAGGGCGCCCTAGAAGACGATCCCAGAGCAAGGTTGGGCTTCTCCCCTTCCCCTCTCGACGGCTGGAAACAACTGCAAGGAACTCATGGGTCATCCTTGCCCAGCCCAGCAATTCCGCACATTTTGCTGCAACGTGCCTGGAAACCTTAGCTAGGACCTTTACTGGAAAAGGGTGGTTTGCCCCCCCGCCCCGGCAAGACATTGGATACCAGCTGGATCGGGAGCAACGTTCTGCGAGGTTTGCATGTGGTGTACTTGAATAAAGATTAATTCCGATCCGCCCGCGCTCTAACTGGCCCTGGAAAGCGGCCTTACCCTAGCGGCCCCGCCGGCTGACCGCTATGCTTTCGACTCCGCCCGCGGTCCCTTTAAGAAGCGGTACGCTTCCTTGTGCGCCTGCGCGGACCTCGCGGAGCCTCACGTCACTCGCTCTTCGCCCCCTCCCTTTTCCTGCCCCTTTGTCCCTTTTTCACCACTCACTCAAACATGACTGGAAAGCGCCTCGAATGCCGATTGGCTAAGCTTTGCGCGGGCTGGGGGAGCAGAGCGCCTGACCAATCGGAAGCCCCGCCACCCGCTCGGTTTGCCTTCGCCTTTAGATCGGCAGGCATGGCGGCCATTTAGCGGAAGAATTGGAGCGGCCATTCAGCCAATTAGGCCCCCCAATACGCGAGAGGGCGGGACAGGGCCAGCACGCATCAGAGAACGGTTTCCGGCCTCGCGCGCCCCCATTTTTTCCTTCTTCCTTTTCCTCCCCTCCCCGCCTTCTCGTCGGCTCGCCTGAGGTGAGGAGGCCGCGGAAGGCCGGGCGGCGGGGGCGGGCGGGCGTCGCGAAGCGCCTCTTCTGGCAGAGGGGGGGAGCTCGAGGTTCCGACCCCGGCTCTGCCTCGCTCCGTTCGGCCGGCTTCTGGAGAGCGCGGCGGGGCCCGGACGCTCCCCGGGGAGCGTGGGGACTGCGGCTCCGCCGGCCGCGATCGCAGGGCGCGCTGGGAATTGTAGTCCCCCGGAAGCGCCGGGGGGGAGCGGCGGTCCCGGGGGGGTGGGGTTGCGGGGCAAGCATCCCTCCCTGAACGGCGCCCGCGTTCTCTCTCTCGGCTTGTCGCCCGCAGGGAGCCGGCCCTCCGCCCCGGCCAAGCATGCAGGGCAACAAGGGCTTCGCCATGGAGAAGCAGAATCACACTTCGCGGAAGCCGCCGCCGCCGCCGCAGCACCACCAGCCGCCGCCACAGCAGCAGCAGCAGCAGGCCGCCCCCGCCAACGGGCAGCAGCTCAACAGCCAGAGTGAGTGGCCCGCCGGCGTGGATGGGCCAGCCGGCGGCCCCTTTGCAGGGAAGGCGCTCGGCCCCGGGACGCACCCGAAGGCCGGCGAAGCAGCGGGAACGGCCGTTTGGCGGCTGAGCGTCTCCGGCAGCATCTGCACAGTCGAGGCAGGCGCTGGCCGGGCCCAGTGCGGGGAGTCCGAACCGCTGCGGACCAAGGTGGCTTAGATTTCCCTCGCCTCCCACCCCAACAAGAAACCAGAGGCCGGATTGGGAGTCGGTTCCTGCCAGGCGCAGTTTCGCTCCTGTCCCTGAACGCGGCCTGGAGGAGCCGCTGGCTGCAAAAAGAAATCACGCTTCCTTGGCTGCTACTGCAAGTTGCTTTCTCTGGCTCGTCCTTCCCTTGGACTGATTTTGTTTATTGAATTTATATTGCCGCCTTAATAGGCCCATGGCGACTGGAGATGTCTTGGATGCCCCTTTTCTCACATATTAGGATTAGAATCTTTATCTCCATTTCAAGAATATATAGACTCCTTAAAGCTTTTTCTGAATCTAGGGTGGCCCTTCAGATTAGTTTACGAGTCACAGAATGGGTTAGC